AATTCTCATGACTCCAACATCCCATTATTTTCTCCTTACCTTATCTTCGGATAATTCAAAGCATAGCCAGGTCCACAGTTTCTCATCTGCAACTGAGAAGTCCCCAAAACTTTGAAGCCATAAAGCTTTCTCATAACTTATTTGACAGAACATCTAACCTGAGCTCATGTGATAGTCAAATGTGACCTGAATGGACATGAGTCGTGTATAACGTTTATTCATTCTATCTAGTGTGACTGGCCATACATTTTGCCGAAGAAATATATTTGGTCATGGGGGTGCTCCCCAGATTTTGCTGGGGATGTCACATAAAATATAGGTTATGCTTCTTATTACCTTTATAAAATGTGAAAAGTTCCAAATTTGGCAAATGCATCTAACCTTGAGACTTTGAAAAAGGATTGTGCACATATATAATCAACATTTATTTGTGTATTTAGTGTCTGTAAGACATGCTAGATGTTGTGTTAGGCTCTGGGGAAGCACTGGAGCAAAACAACCCCCAGAAAATCCATTCTTGTTGAAGAGTCAAATTACAATAAATAAATGGATCAAGTCATTGTAGTTGAGGTATATAGGAAGGTGACTGAGTGTGGGGGCGAGGGTACTGAACTTAGTCTAGGCCCCTGTGTTGTGGTAGCAGGATGGGACAGTCTTCTCAGAAAATGAGAAGCATGAACTTGAGTAACCCATGGGTTGAGTGAGAGCATAGTTGAACAAGCTTGGGAGGATGTGAGCTGCAGGTGGGAATGAGAAATTGGTGTGCTAGACAAAAGGCAGAGCTGAAGGATGCCATAAAGGTGCCCTATTGATGAAACTACAAGTAATTCTGATATGGCTGATGTCCAGGTGTGTGAAGGACAGTGGTGGGGATTGGACTTTAGTGGGGAAGGGTGTGCTCCCATGGATAGCACTGATGGAATACATGCAGAGGAGGGGCACGGTGAGCTCTTTTCTCAGCTTTCTCCTACAGATCCCACTGAGGGTAGTGGGATAGGGTGGAGGTTGGCAGGGAAGGCCTGAAGCAGAGAGACCTTTGGGTCCTGCTTGCAGCTGTCAAGTGGAAAGAAGGTGGGTGTCTAGTTCAGGACCTTGGAGCAAGATCTTGAGGAAGGACTTTTTTTTGGACATTTGAGAGGCAACTGGCATTTCATGCTTTTCCAAGTGCATATCTAGGATGTATTTGATCTGCATGTCAGCTTTGTGGTATGTACTTTAAAGGTATTAGAAAACTAAGGCCTGGCAGCTAAGGGGTTGACTTAGAGCCATATAGCAAACTAATGGGAGGGATATTGGTTGATGAAGATAGGCTTACCTCAAAAAAGAGAAAACTTTCAGATAGACATATGCCCAGGAAAAACTATTGTATAAATCAGACACCCCTGCCAAAAGTTGTGGGGGAGTAGGTTATGAATAATGTTTCTGATTTCTTTCTTGTGGCCCTTTGAGTCATGCTGGCTGCCTTACATGGGAGGCGAGGCCTGGCTCAGTCTGTTCCGTCCCTGGCCACCACTTAAGAGCGCCTCTCCCCCTGCCTTCCTGTGTCGTTTGTTGTTTGTACTGCTCATTTGGCACTTGAAGTGCTTTGCATTTTCAGTTACTTGCCTGAATTCATGCTGTGCTCTTTGCTGGCTCACGATTTGGCAGTTGCTTCTTGGGTGCTGTCTCTAAAGGACTTCAAGTTCACTTTTTTGCCTGTCTGCCCCGATTGTCTCTTTCTGGTATAAATGAGGCACTGTTGTAAGTCAGTCACTTCCTAACTTGACAACATGCGTCACCTCGCAGCCTGGCCTCACCTCCTGCCTGTCCCCTTCTCCCCTGGCTCTCCTGCCACCACATGCACCCATTTCAGCCCCAGAGAACTTCTCTCTATCTCTCCAGCAACAGAGGATGGTTTGTCAGTTCTTGTCCTTGCCCCATAGCCTCCCTCTGCCTGGAATGCACCCACTCAGTGGGGGTTTCTCTTCGCTGTCATCTTTTCTGCCTTGCAAACTCTTGATCTTTCTATGCTGCCCATGCCTCACTTGCCTCCTGGAAAGCTTACCTGTGCTTCTATAGCACCCAGTTTATATAGGGGACTTGGGATATACCATGGAGGTGTTTTCTCCTCTGAACACTGCCAAGTCCCTCTGTCCCTCCCACCCTCTTCTCTGTGCTCTTCCCTCTAATGCTAGTCTGTTACTTTTTTTTCTTCCACTTTTCTCATTATTCTGCTCTTCATCCCCAACACTGCGTCTTTTTTGATTTTTTTATCCCTCCTACCAAGCAGTCTCGGGCACACACAGCTAATCAAAATGGTCATTGAGTCAATCGAGGATCTCACAAGTGAAAGTAGAATGAGAATTTCTGATATAGTTTTACCTTTCAAGATATAAAGTCAATGGGTGAAAAAAGACTTTGAGGTTCTTTTTGACAAGATTTCCATTTTCTAAGAGAAAAAGAGACTTGTCCTGCCCCTACACTAGATTTTGATTTCCTTGGAAAACAAGAGCATGCCTTAAACAAGAGCATTTAATATGGCATCCCACGACAGTAGTAATGCACTTGCAACTGATTTATTGCTTTCCTTGATCAGAGGGAGTTCCAAGTGACTATTGGACCTTAATCCCAGGTTTATTTTATTTTGGGGAAGTATGGCCAGCATCAGGTGAAAACAATCAACAGTTGGCCAATGGTTGAAGTAAAAGAGACTTGACTAAATCCCAGGTATAATCAATTAAATGGTCTTTTTAAAAAACTTGACTCTTTTTGTTAAAACATGGAGGCATTTAATAACATTAAAACACGGGTAACAGAAACACAAGGGCAAACTTCAGCTTTGTCTAGTGAAATTCATTGGTATCACCAGATCTTATGTTTTAAAAATCCAGCCATGCTTTGTTTTCTTTTGCATTTATAGAAAACTTCAACATTGCATTACTGTTCACATTCACATAACCCTTTCTAAGCTCAACAGGTAAATTACTCCAAGCAGATGGCTAGATTTTTAATTATTAAGCCAGGCTGTTAAATATATTCTCTTTCAGAAAAATTGAGAGATGGTGAAGGGCACATGTCTTACTGTTTTCTGTAAATTCCTGTGACCCTAGAAAACGTATAAAATAACTCTTCAGGTCCATGTTCAGCTGTATTTTAGGTGGTGTCTGTTAGTACTGAAAATAATTAAAAGAGTTTTGTTGAATGCTTCCTGGGATCTTTAAAGGAGAAGAAGGGCCTCTAAGACGAGGTGTTCCAAGACTTGTGAGAGCAGCAGTTTATACCCAATATTATCTCTTTATGATTTGCCAGGAAAGGTTTTAATCCACTGACTGATATGCATTACAAATACATTTACACAATGTTGGGTAAGTTATTTGGAATTAACTATATTTTTTTGGAGACAGAATCTTACTCTGTCTCCCAGGCTGGAGTGCAGTGGTACGATCTTGGCTCATTGCAACATCTGCCTCCTGGGTTCAAGTGAATCTCGTGCCTTAGCCTCCTGAGTAACTGGGACTACAGGCACACTCTACCACATCCAACTAATTTTTGTATTTTTAGTAGTGATGGGTTCTTACCGTGTTGCTCAGGCTGGTCTCAAACTCCCAACCTCAAGTGATCCGTCCACCTTGGCCGCCCAAAGTGCTGGGATTACAGCGTGAGCCACTGCACCCAGCCTAGATTAAAAAAAATATATACAATTTAGACAAATTTCCATGTCAAATACAAACCTTTATTTAGTCAAATTTATGAAGTTTTAAAAAGATCTATAGTATTTTCTTGAACAGATGCTCCTTATCATATCTAATATTTGGTATAAATGGTTTGTATTTGTATGGAATTTTTGAGAATGGATTCCCACCGTTGAGTAATTTCTATAATACATGAAAAGGGAATTGAAGCTTTTCAGGTGGCTTGTAGGAACTAGAACAACTGAATTACAGCTTTTATTGCTGTCTCCTTCTGTCCCCAACAACTTAGGTATTTAGGAATAGAAGAAAGTCACATGGAGAAGGAAAGAGCAGTAAACCAAGTTATCTAATGACCCCATTGTTCGAAACCTTTGTTCACGGAAAGGAAATAATAGATATCTTGGTTTTATTTCTATGAAGGAGAAGAATCCATTTTCTAATTCAATATAATGAAGTGTAAAATTTTTCTGTTTAAAGTAAGGAATTGTTGTAATTTTGCTGGAAAAGAAAAGGTTTCAGGCTATTGGAAATTATGCAGGGGCAGAAGCTGAAATTAGCTACTTTTCATATTTGCTTTCGGGCAGAGGAAGAGTTCATTATTTATCCTTCTCCTCTGCCTTCCCACATGGCTGTCCTCTTTACATTTTATTTTGTGCCTTCAATATGATAGTAAATAGTAGAGCCATCAGTCAGACAGCTGTGCCTGGCAGTTAGAGGGTACTCAGTACGTGTAGAATGAATGAATGAGGAAATGAGTATTTTTTGTTATATTATTTGCATCCCTCCTAATGGAAGAGGTTAATTTATAACAATGTTTTTCTTAAAAAAAATACTTTTATAACCAAAAAAAAAAAAAAGGGTATTTTGATGATGCTCTTAGTTTATTTACCCCTAACTCTAGTTTGTGGACAACTTTTTATTTCTATTTATGGTTTGGAACCACTAGATTCATGTATTTTCCATAGGTGGCTTGGGTGTTTTTGATCACCGAAGGAATTTTTGTTCTATGTCTCTAGTGCCCTGTTGGGCAATTCACAGCTATTAATATACACTGTTGGAGAGTCTTGCTAATAGTTATCATTACATGAGAAGCTTTCACGTATTTTCTTCTAACAGCTATCCTTCTTCTAATACCCTGCAGGGTGTCTATTCATTGCCTTTTTCTTCGCCTATTTTAGGACCTACTTGTAGCTTCCAGGACTGCCCTGAGGTTTGAGGAAGGTGATTAGTATTTTCTTCTGTCACATTATAACCTGTGACACCCACAATGAAACCTTGGGGGAAACTGTCCTCTCGCTAACTCAGCACAATTCTTGTCTTTGTGTGCAGGTATAGTGGAGGATTACAAGCCACCATTCTACGATGTGGTCCCCAATGACCCAAGTTTTGAAGATATGAGGAAAGTAGTCTGTGTGGATCAACAGAGGCCAAACATACCCAACAGATGGTTCTCAGACCCGGTGAGAGTGCCAGTTTCTCACGTTTAAAGCTCTTTTCCATTATTTGCTCTTTGTTTCCCTTTGAGTTTCAATTGCTATAGCACCTGAGTGATCTGCCCTGTGTATCTGCTGTTTTCTCTTCCTATTTTATGTGGAATGATTTAGATCTACTAGAGTAAGTTCAGAAAAATACTCTCATTCTTGAAGAAGCCATATCTGATAGGGGTTGCTAGTGAATGACAATATTCATAAGAATTTCTGTGAATGAGCAGCCCCAGAAATCGGGAGACTCATGACTATTGCTACTAGCCCTAAAACTGAAGTTTCATGTGTAAACCAAGAGACTTTAAGTGAAGCTTTTAACCTCTCTTCCATCTCTGCATATCTGAAATCCAAACACAAGCTGCTGACTGCTGAAGATCCATTGCTGCTTGTAAGTAGTAGCAGATATAAAACAATGAGGTATTGTCCTATTTGGAAACTTCAGGATTATCTCTAATCCTAACGTACTACTTCTGTCAGCACCCATAAAATCATTAAGGGGTCCAATCTGGCCTAGGTCATTCACCTGATAAAGTAAATTGGTAGCATTAAGAGTCCAAAGGACAGAGTTTCTGAAACTCCAAGAGTGGCTTCTGTATCAGGGGTTAAAGCTTGAATATTTGTTTAAAGAAGATGACAGTAACATAACTCTCATTTCACAAGACCTCTGAGTTCTTAAAAAGAGTTGACATGATTATCAGTCCAGCTTCCAGGGCCACTAAAAAGCCAGTTTGTTATTGTGGTGTTTGTTCTTTCTCTTCCCAGACATTAACCTCTCTGGCCAAGCTAATGAAAGAATGCTGGTATCAGAATCCATCCGCAAGACTCACAGCACTGCGCATCAAAAAGACTCTGACCAAAATCGATAATTCCCTCGACAAATTGAAAACTGACTGTTGACATTTTCATAGTGTCAAGAAGGAAGATTTGACGTTGTCATTGTCCAGCTGGGACCTAATGCTGGCCTGACTGGTTGTCAGAACAGAATCCATCTGTCTCCCTCCCCAAAAGGCTGCTTTCACAAGGCAGACATCATACCCAGCCATGTGTTGGGGAGACATCAAAACCACCCTAACCTCTCTCGATGACTGTGAACTGGGCATTTCACGAACTGTTCACACCGCAGAGACTAATGTTGGACAGACACTGTTGCAAAGGTAGGGACTGGAGGAACACAGAGAAATCCTAAAAGAGATCTGGGCATTAAGACAGTGGCTTTGCATAGCTTTCACAAGTCTCCTAGACACTCCCCACGGGAAACTCAAGGAGGTGGTGAATTTTTAATCAGCAATATTGCCTGTGCTTCTCTTCTTTATTGCACTAGGAATTCTTTGCATTCCTTACTTGCACTGTTACTCTTAATTTTAAAGACCCAACTTGCCAAAACGTTGGCTGCGTACTCCACTGGTCTGTCGTTGGATAATAGGAATTCAATTTGGCAAAACAAAATGTAATGTCAGACTTTGCTGCATTTTACACATGTGCTGATGTTTACAATGATGCCGAACATTAGGAATTGTTTATACACAACTTTGCAAATTATTTATTACTTGTGCACTTAGTAGTTTTTACAAAACTGCTTTGTGCATATGTTAAAGCTTATTTTTATGTGGTCTTATGATTTTGTTACCGCAATGTTTTTAACACTATACTCTAAAACGGACATTTTCTTTTATTATCAGTTAAATTCACATTTTAAGTGCTTCACATTTGTATGTGTGTAGACTGTAACTTTTTTTCAGTTCATATGCAGAACGTATTTAGCCATTACCCACGTGACACCACCGAATATATTACTGATTTAGAAGCAAAGATTTCAGTAGAATTTTAGTCCTGAACGCTACGGGGAAAATGCATTTTCTTCAGAATTATCCATTATGTGCATTTAAACTCTGCCAGAAAAAAAATAACTATTTTGTTTTAATCTACTTTTTGTATTTAGTAGTTATTTGTATAAATTAAATAAACTGTTTTCAAGTCAAACAGTGAAATTGTTTTTCAAAATATAAAAAAGGTCTGTGTAACATTACGCATTGTCTTATGGGAGCAATAGAAGCACAAAACTAATTTGTAAATTGAATTTGCTTTTTAAGTCTACTAATGAACTTACATAAGACATCATAAGGATGTTTTACAGCTTGAATTTGGTAGAAGAAAACTTGTTCCTTCCCTTGGCTGTGATGATTTTTTTTCAGTCAGTTTCTCCAGCTGTGAGGTGAGGGTAACAGATCTCTCTGACCTGGCTTTCTCGCAGGGGGTTGTGAGTGTACATGGGAAGGAGGATGTTAGAGCAGTTTGTTTCGCATAAGGTTCCATGTGAGTGTAAAGTGGTCTTCTGCATCCCACCTTGCTGCTTGGGAGAATCCATTCTTGATTTTTACACTTCTTATACACAAGATTAAAAAGGTAGACTTAACAGTAGCCCAATAAGAGAAGAGGGGTGAACATGCTGGAATGTCTTGCAGAGGTAAGTTAATAACTTCATTAGGATGCATTTACTTGGAGGGTATGCATTAGAATTGCATTTTTTAAAATTAAAAATTAAAATTTTAATTTGTATTACAGATAACATAAAATTTACTAATTTTTAAGTGTGCATTAAATACATTCACCTTGTTATGCTACTATCACCATCATCTATCCACAGAACTCACGTGAAACTGAAGCTGTATCTGTCAAACAATATCTCCCCATTCCTCCCTCCTTGGCCCCTGGCAAACGTTATTCTACTCTGTGTCTCTATGAGTTTGATTACTCTAAGCACCTCATGGAATCACGTAGTATTTGTCCTTTTGTGACACTGGTTTATTTTACTTAACATTGTATCTTCAAGGTTCATCCGTGTTGTAGCATGTGTTCGAATTTCCTTCCATTTCAGGCTGAATATTATATATAAAAACTGTTCATCCATCCACTGAGGGACGTTTGAGTTGCTTCCATCTTTTGGCTTTTGTGAATAATGCAGCCATGAACATGAGTGTGCAAATGTCTCTTTGAGTTCCTACTTTCTGTGCTTTTGGGTGTATGCTCAGACGTGGAATGGCATTAGGTTTAACTTTTATTAAAATAGTACATGCTTACATCAAAGTATACATTTATAAAAGTGTACAACCTGATGAGTTTTTATGAATTTGTTACGTCCATGGAAACAGCACCCAGATGAAGAAGCAGAGCATGCCAGAAGTCTTCCTTTTGCTGCCATCTCACTCTCCAGCCCCAAGAGTAACCACCTTGCTGACTGCTAAGAACATTGATCATATTCATTTCTTACTGAACACTTTATAAATGGAATCATACGGGATGTATGCCTGCAGGAGTGCACTCTCTGGGTGATAGGATCAAGTGTATGTTAGGCTTTAGTAGATGTTACCAAACTGTCTTCTTCACAAAGGGTTATTCAGTGTTTATTCTCATTAGCTGCCTGCAAGAGTTCTGGTTCTCTTTCTTCAACAGTACTTAGTATGTTCGTCTTTTTCATTTTAGTCATTCTGTTGAATATTCTGTTGAGTATGCATATTTCGGCAAAACAAAGACACAAAGGGGAGAGAGTGAATAACTGAGTCTATTTAAAGAGCTCTTGCCATTGCTTTCAAGTGAGTCTTTGAAGAGACTTGCCTCCTCCATCCTGCTTCCTATTCTGTCAGCCTCACCCAAGCCTCCCTCTTAACCCTGGCAGCAGACGATTTTGGCAGTAGCAGTAGGTCAATCTAGTTTGCAGTTGTTCTAAAATTTGCAGAAGCAGCTTATGCCAGTATCAACTGACCAGGGTTCACACCTCAGAGGGCTGCCCTGCCCCCAAACTTAGAGACACTAATACCAGCTCAACAGTACCTCCTCCTCAGAGGGCCAAGGGGTCAGCTCTCTGGGTGTGCCCCCTTTAAACCTCAAAGTTCTGGTAATTCCAATCACTTCCCTTTTTTCCTCTAGCCTTGGTGTAGCAGTATATTATTCCATTCTCATGCTGCTATAAGGATATACCCAAGACTTGGTAATTTATAAAGGAAAGAGGTTTAATTGAATCTCAGTTCAGCATGGATAGGGAGGCCTCAGGAAACTTACAATCATGGCAGAAGGGGAAGCAAACACATCCTTCTTCACATGGTGGCAGGGAGAAGGATGAGAACTGAGCAAAGCGGGAAAGCGTTTATAAAACTATCAGATCTTGTGAGAACTTACTGTCATGAGAATAGCATGGGGTAAACCACTCTCATGATTCAATTACCTCCCACTGGGTCCCTCCCATGACACATGGGGATTACAATTGTTATGGAAGCTACAAATGAAGATGAGATTTGCGTGGGGACACAGCCAAGTCATACCAAGTTGCTGTCACTAGTTGATTCCTCTGTGGTACTTTTTGTTTTTGTGATGGGGTCTTACTCTTTTGCCCAGGCTGGAGTGCAGTGCTGCGATCACAGCTCACTGCAGCTTCAAACTGGGTTCAAGTGATCCTCCCATCTCAGCCTCCCAAGTAGTTGGCACTATAGGTATGCACCTCTATGCCCAGCTATCTCCATGTTACTTTAATATTGTCTTTTTGGCCTTTTTATTTACCTAATTAATAATTTGTTATTCCTAGTCAACTATTCTCTCTGCTAAAAAATAACAAAAAACTGATGTAGTATCTGTCACCTGACTGGACTTGGGCTGATGGAAGCATTATCCCATTTTCTCTTTTGTGATACTTTTTTAGGTAGGTAGAACAGATGTTACATCCCCAATTTACACACCAAAAACCAAGGCAGTGATGAAGTGTGATTGTTCAGCTAATTAGTAGCAGAACTAAAATGGGATCATTATTTTTAGCCTAGAGCTCTCAGTTACCTATGACTCCTTCACCCCTTTCCCCACCCTTGCCTTTCAGTTGATATATCTCCCTAGGATAAAGACTAAAAAAGAAAGGGCAGTTGGCCCTACATTTGTTGTTTTATTTCTTATCATGTTTATATTTCACAGGAAGATCAAGTGACACAAGTCCTGGACAAATCTCTTATTTTCCAGAATATTTGCTCCTCGACAAGAAGGGATAATCTTCCTGTCTCCTCTCACCCCATCCCAAGATAATTTCTTCACTGAAACTGGAATGCCCTGGAGGACCCTCAGTTGCTACAGGCCTATGTTATATGTGAGCACTTCTTTGGCCATCAAACTTTCTTTTCAAAACGTTCTGACTCTTACTGTCCTTCTGCCAGGGACTCAGGATAGAGTAGATTTGTCCCTCGGCGGAGCTTGGTCCCAGGACACCAATTCATGCATGCCCAAGTCCCACAGTTGGCCTTGCAGAACGCTTGCATAGGAAGTGTTGGCCCTCTCTATATGCAGGTTTTGCATCCTGCAAATACTGTGTTTTTGATTGAATTTGTGAATATAAGTGGACTTGCATAGTTAAACTTGTGCTGTTTAAGGGTCAACTGTATCTCAAAACCTAATTAATTCACATTTTTAGCAGTATCCTATTGTGGAAGACCTATTCTCTAGAGTGTGACCTGCTGCAATGACATTTTGACAGTTTCCATTACTGAATCATCCTGAATAACTCTTTCCCCCCCTATGCAACCCTCTCTTATTGGATCAGGTCACTAAAGTTGCTCGGAAACTCCTCAGCTTGGAATTTAAAGTGCATCCATGATTCGCTTATTTGACAAATAAATTTTAGTGTCAAATACCAGAGAGGAGAGGCTTTTGTCCTGTCCTTCCTCTCACGCTGGTGACCTTTTGTGCTTGGCTTTGTTAAATCCCTTTGTTTATTCTGCTGGTCTTACATATTTTTGTTGTGTCTCACCCATTAGATGGTTATTAATCATAATACTTACAGTGCTAATAGTTAATGTTTACTGAGCATCTACTACATGCTGGGTTTTTTGCTAACTGTTGGACAGGCACTCCTCACAGAAACATTAGGAGGTAGGTACTATTATTTTTATTTTACATTTAGAGAAACTGAGGCTTGTGGATGTTACAAATAGTGTCCATCACACAACAAATAAAACAGCTGAGTTTGGATTTGAGCCCACATAGACTATTCTAGCACCTGGACTCTTAATTGATATGCTATAAGCTGTTGCTTGTTAAAAGAGATTACATATTTTTTTCTGCTTTTTTGCGAAAAATGTTGTTATTGACTTCTTTTCAATAGAATATGCATACTGAATTGCTGTGTTATGAGTTGGGAGAGGTTGGGTTTCTTTTTCCAGCAAATGATCTTTTCCTCTTATTTAGTTTCAGTTATTTTAGAAATGAATTCAGGATACCAATTTACATGCCAGATATGAAGTCAGTTGTTGAAAAAATGCCTAGAAAAAAGTATCCAGTTATACCAAAATATTTAACATGATTATCTTTGAGTGGTGTTGCTCTGTGTTATTTCTTCCTATCTTCTGTAGTTTTCATCTTTCTAAAATGAAAATATATTTTGGAATGTTGAAGGAATGGCAGTTTTATGCTGATCTGGGAGGTCAGATGGTCTGCTAATTACCAGGTGACTTGAGTGGCTAATAATTATTCTAGTGGATTGGTAATTTTCACTTTTTTCTAAGTTATACATGTCATTCTTTAAAAAGGGGAAGCGTTCTACAGTGTTTATAATAAACGGTGATCCTGTGCTATTTTCCACTTTCATTTTCCCCCTCCCAGTAGCAACCATTTTCTTTTTTTTTTTTTTAATTATACTTTAAGTTCTGGGGTATATGTGCAGAACATGCAGGTTTGTTACATAGGTATACACATGCCATGCTGGTTTGCAGCACTCATCAACCCATCATCTATATTAGGCATTTATTCTAATACTATCCTTCCCTTAATGCCCCACTTTCCGACAGGCCCTGGTGTATGATGTTTCCCTCCCTGTGTCCATGTGTTCACATTGTTCAGCTCCCACTTATGAGTGAGAACATGCAGTGTTTGGTTTTCTGTCCCTGTGTTAGTTTGCTGAGAATGATGGCTTCCAGCTTCATCTATTCCCTGCAAAGGACATGAACTCATCCTTTTTTATGGCTGCATAGTATTTCATGGTGTATATGTGCCACATTTTCTTTATCCAGTCTATCATTGGTGGGCATTTGCGTTGGTTCCAAGTCTTTGCTATTGTGAATAGTACCACAATAAACATATGTGTGCATGTGTCTTTATAGTAGAATGATTTATAATCCTTTGGGTATATATCCAGTAATGGGATTGCTGGGTCAGTTGATACTTCTGGTTCTAGATCCTTGAGGAATCACCACACTGTCTTCCACAATGGTTGAACTAATTTACACTCCCACCAACAGTATAAAAGTGTACCTATTTCTCCACACCCTTTCCAGCATCTGTTGTTTCCTGACTTTTTAATGATCGCCATTCTAACTGGCATGAGATGGTATCTCACTGTGGTTTTGATTTGCATTTCTCTAATGACAAGTGATGATGAGCTTTTTTTCATATGTTTGTTGGCTGCATAAATGTCTTATTTTGAGAAGTGTCTGTTCATATACTTTGCCCACTTTTTGATGGGGTTGTTTTTTTCTTGTAAATTTGTTTTTGTTTTTTAATATATATATATATGTTATTGCAGTTTAGGTTCTGGGGTACATGTGCAGAACATGCAGGATTTTGCATAGGTACATATATGGCACTGTGGTTTGCTGCCTCCCTCTCCTTCACCTACATCTGGGATTCCAGGCACCAGTTGAGGCAGCCGTCCAGGTTTGTGTGAGTTTTTGTGCGGAGACCCTCTGTGCCGGCTGAAACAGCCGTGCTGGAACCTCATGGCACTTTTCAGCCTGGGAATCTCCT